TGACAGGAACTGGGGGAGGAAGCAGGAGCTCACTCTGCTATGTGAAAGCTGGGCTCGAACCGCTGAAGTGTTGACCATTTCTGGCTGGCAACTTTCAGCGTCATTAAGCCGCTGCGCCACCGCGTCCCCATAGACCACACAAAGTAAAATATATTTTTCATGAGTGGTTCACACCATAACTTTCATTGAAATCTGGAGAACAGCTGGATGGCTGTTGCCTTGAGTTTTATGATGAAGAAAAGGGCAATGCTATAATAAAAGTATTATTAGTATATGACAATGTAATATAGGTAGAATATACTGTACTTGTAATAAATAACATTAACTGATCTTGTTCTGAATTTTGCTTTCCACTTTAGATGACATTTAAAAAAAAATACTTAGTAAGCATTCAAGAATTAGGGCATAAGCCATTTATGACAAGTACATCTGTCCTTTTTTTCTGCTGCTGTTGCTTTTTACTAATTCCCACTTCAAGATCAGAACAAAAAAAAAAAGAAAAAAAGAAAAAAAAGAACTTTGGTTAAATCCATAATTGCTTACAAGTATCAACTTTCTATGCTGAAATGATAACATTCCAATAATAACTGCTTGGAATTTAAACAGGGGGATAAGATGTTTATACAACAAAAATCAAAGCATTATATTAAAATTTCTAAATATTTATAATTAACATAATTCATTTAATTATAATGCAACTTGCAGTATTGTTTTGAAAGCACTTTAAATAGTATTATTGTATCTAATAAGTTAATTGAAATGCTGATGCTGGTCTGTTTTAATTTAGGAAGAAGTGGGAAGGTAAGAAGATCAAGATCTGCCTTACTTCATCTATTCGCTATGTTATTATAATTGTAATAGAAACTAATGAAAATCTCAGCAGTAGTCAAATTATTGCATATATTGAATATTGTAACAATCCAATACATTCGATTACTTTTTAGATTGCAGTTCTGTACATCTTCTCTTAAGTAGGGCTCTGTGGAATTCAGTAGGACTTACTTCTGAGTAGACATACATACTATAGATTCATACTCAGATCTTGTATCTAAGGCAGAACTGCAACATTGGTGACCATCCAGCTGATCATTCATATTAGTACCCATCATGGTTTGAGGAACACAAAAACTTAAATTTCTTCATATGAACAATTGAATTAGTATGTTTAGTTTGGAGAAAAATAGCTTGGTGAGAAAACCAAAATGCTTTAAGTATTTTTTAAAAGCTCTATATAGTCCTTTTTCAAAATAGCATTTATATTTACAAAACGAATTAGTTCTAGCACTGATAGACTAGGTTTGGGCACTAGTCCATCAGTCTGAAATCATCTGAAATGTTACATCTACCATAGGTCTAATGAACATTCATGAAATTGAAAGCAGGAGAAAACATTGGGGTGCATGTGTGGCCCACTTCACTTCTGTATGTACAAAAGATCTGAAGAAAGGCTGCAATGACATTGCTTCAGTTTATCTTTGGAATGCCCTTGCCCACATGGAATATCACAGATCCCTGTTGCTCTTTCAGACTATTTCTCTGTTGAACAGGATTTCAAAAATTGCCATCAAGAAAATCTTCCTTGAGATTGCTAATCTACAACAAATTCTACAGTAGTGTGATAGTTGAAGACATTCATGAAAAGCAGCTTTTGTTCACTGCATCACTGTTTAGCTGCTAAATGGTTTTTATTGAATGTTTTTTAGGTCAAGTAGTAATATAACATGCAAGTAGTCTGCTTAGCTTTTTAGCATGGAGTAGGAAGGCTACTATAGGCAGCTGTCCTGTTAAAAAACTATTGGGGCAATTCTATGCATGCTTATGCAAAATTAAGCCCCACTGGGTTCAGTAGAACCTACTGACAAAATTAGCTTTACGTTGCCGGGACTCCCCCAAATATGATCAAGCCAGGAATTTCAAAAACCAAACCCACAGTTGTAGCCCCTAATTATTTAGATGGTGCCAGATTAAAGGTGTCTTTCATTGCTTTTTAAACATAAATGTAAATAAAACCTGCTTTGTCCTGATAATTAGGTATTGATTTTTACTGTATTGTCTAGAATCATTCTAGATTGTCTAGAATCATTCTAAGAGCAAGCATAAAGCTTCCTGTGACAGTCTGTGTACCTTTCACATATCCCACTTATACTAAGGCAGATGATACCAAATAGCAAATACTGCAGAATAACTTCACGTATAGAGATTATGCTGTAGCCAAATAAGTGATTTAATAAAATGTAGTAGTTATAATACTGGAACCAGGAGCAAGATTCAGGTTCAAGTTTCAACTTGACTATGAAGAACACTGAGTAAACTCTTCAGCCTATTCTCACATTACTGTTGAAGAAATGAAGGGAGCCCATCATAAGTTCCCAAAGCTCTAATGCAATAATGAAACAAAATCAAATTACTCAAGGTTTGTATAATCCAATGTTTTAGCCTACATACCATTTGTTTCAAAGGGGTTTGCTCCTAAGAAAATACATTTAGAGAATCCTGTAAAAATGTCAGTATCAATTTTAACACCAAAAATGGGTCCTTTGAATTAGTGGAAAGAAATCAGAATTGTAATTATTGAATTTCAGCCTAAAAATGTGGTGAACTGGGAACAAGCTGTACTGAACATAGGGACATATAAATGAATAGGACTGTGTGGCCCACTCAAATATAAATTCTTAACACTACACTTCCCATATTAATGTCAACTTGTCAAACTGTTGATATTCTAATGATACCAACATAATTACTCAGCACTCCCCACTATGTCTTATTATGTACATCAGAAAAGCTATACTTGAAGGAAACTCAAGACTGGGAGACAATGTGCAGTGAGGTACATGGGGTTGTGAGGAATAGAGGTTTAAACGTAGCAGGAAGATCTGGTAGGGTACCACTGGGTGAACAAAATATTTTTCACATCTGATCATGGTCCATCAAACTACATCTTTGCTATGCCCTGACTCCTTTCACAAGCATTTGGGTCAAGTGGAGTTTCCTTTTGGCTGCTTAATGATTCTGTTTGTTCACCATTTAACATTTATATTTTATATACTGGGTTGTTCTTTTTTAATGTTGTATTTTGTTATTGTTTACTTTTGTTTGTGGCCCAGAGTCACAATGTGTGAGTTGGGTGGCCTTACAAATCCATGAAATTAAAACAAAAACAAAAAAACCCCTGCAATTAACTTGCAAAACACAAATCTTGTCACAGCTCTGATGAATACTCCTGGAATATATTGCCTTGCAATATTCAGCAATGTAACAATCAACTGGCAAACTGCTGCTGCTAGCACCTATTTGTGATTGTATAAACTGCAAATAGCTACTTTTCATACTCCAGCTCACCTAAGGCAGCTGGAACTATTGTGTGTCTGCTACTGAAGAAAATAAATCAATTATGCAAAATGCAGCAGATAGGACAGCAATTCAAGACATTCCCAGTACAATGAGAGTTTCTGAAAAAATGGGAGACCACAAAAACAAATAGTTTGACATTAATTTTAGACTCTAGTGTAATAAATAAGTAGAGATAGCACTTTATGTGGAAAGAAGAAAAGGTGCTGGCATGATTGTACATACTATACCTCTTGGTACCTCCTAAAAGCTGCATAGTAGCCACATGATTTCAGGAAAATATGTGTTTGAGATAAGGTTCCAAGCACATCCATGCCAGTGCTTCCTTAGTTAAACATGTATTTTTCTGAGTCTTTGCAGATACTGGGCAAGCCCAGGGGGGAAAAAAATGCAGCATCTTTAAGAAGTGCTCAGAGATTCAGAATGCATGTCCACACCTCTCAAAAATGCCTTTTTGCTTCCTATCCAAAGAGCTACATATCCTAATTATCAGCCTACATAAAATAAAGAATATTGGTTCCTTTTGAAGTAGTTGATGCTCACAAGTGAACATTAAGGCTCAACTCAGATGTCATACTAAATCATGATTTAGGTTAGTCATGGCTTAGAAAGCAAAACATGTCTGGATTTTCCAAACAAGCCTGCATCAATTTTAAATGCATACAGACTTTACACACAATGAGAGAAATTTGAGAGGAAAACACAAGCACTGTTTTTATCATTATTTTTATCATACACCATAGATAAAGGACAAATGTGTGCAAGGGAGAGCATTTGAGGACACTCACTCTGAGATTAAATATTCAAAATCACACAAAGCCACCAAGGAACGTTATAGCTAAATGCACTTATTCTTGCTCAGCCTCCTTCCTTATAAAATCTGTATGCATTTAAAAAGCATGAGCTACATTCAAATGGGTGAAGTGTATCTTGGGTAACAAAAGCATGTGGTTCTATTATTTCAGTTCTAAGTTCTCCCTTTCCAAAGTGATAATCCTCTGCAGCTGCATTGCAGATGCAACGATCAATGAATTCAGACATCATACAAAATTACTTAGCATAAAACACTGTTTGCAAACCAGAGTTTCCCAGCTTTTTACACAAACAGGCATTAACTTAGTTGGGAGACAAATCTCTAGAATGGAAAAGTACTCTTAACTATGGCCTTACGTGATATTTAAATGTTGCTTAGGAAGGTATTAAGGATAAAATATATATATATACCTGAGGAAGTATAAGCCTTAAAATATTCTTTGGACATAATAATTCTGCTGATTCCAATAAATGAAAGGGAGCTTTAACATTAAAGCTTACACGCATATCAGGTATTATTCAGATATAGGCACAGAAACATCAACAGTATTTATTTAAAATACTTTATCATGGAAACCTAATTTATGAGAGCAGTATTTTCCCCAAGAAAAATAACATCAGGATTCTCTGAATACTAATACAAAGAAAGCTCAGCACATTCAAAACAGTCTTTAGGTCTGTGAGTCTTAAGTTTGCTTATTTAGTGAACACTGCTATCCATTTTTAGATCAGATTTGTTCTTGTCATTCTTCACTGAATAGATGAAATAGGTTAAGGTATCCTTTTCATTCACTGGAATAGTCCGAAAATGACATCCAATTATCTGGAGGGAAAAAAAAGTATTTGTCTATATATTGAAACAAAAATTTTAGACAAGTGTCTCAGAATTAAGCCAACAAAATAAGAATAAGTTATTAAGCTTTTAATGAATTCATCCCAGAATGGAAGCATTAAATTACCAATCTTCTTGAAAAGTGCATTCAAAATTGAAAACATTATAATTATGATTTGACTGAGGAATAATAAAAAAGCACAATATCTCTTAGGCTATCCTGTGTCTTAAATGAAGTGGTGCAATGTATTAAAGACTGCTTTGTCAAAGTAAACTGTAAAATAAGCTTAATACAACTACCAAATATGGATATATCATCTCTATAAACTTTTGGAACTCCTGAGAATTCAACTACATGTAAAAAATGCCATTTTCCTTTTCTTTTTTTAGCTTGTTAAAAAAATCAACAAAACTTTCCTAAAGAATTTAGAATATTTTAGCACTCATGGAGTAAGAAAACTAGTTTGATATAGTTAAGGATCTAATTTGTACTGTTCTTTATGCAAATTAGAAAAACACTGAAACACCGAGTGTCCATATTGGGACAATTATACATGATCATGGTTGGTAAGGTAGCCAAATTTTCCATTTACACCTATACTATACTAAGTTTATGCTAAGCAGACTGAAGAACTCCGAAAAGCTTTCCAAATTTTTGAAATACCCCCAAGATACACAAATAGTGAGCTTGATTCAATCAACTGCTGCTTGCTGAAAATAACTGAAATAATCTTACAATACTGAAACCCAGAAGTTTCATGACATATTACATCTGGGCTGTCTTGATCCTACAACTTATCAGTTTCCTTGGTAATATCCCTGGTTAAATTTGGTGAATTTAACTTATTCTACTAATTATATTTAACCTATTTACCTACTCTACTAGCTCTATTTCTCCTCTTTCTTTCCATACATTATTTCATTTGTTCAATTTACGTGGCCACCTGTCTCTCCATTGTGATGTCTGGGTGGCTAATAGAGCATAAAAACAACCCCCCAAAATAAACAAACAAACAAAAAAAACAATATACACAAGATAATCAGTAATATATACATAATATGAGCAAGCTTAATCAATCCTGTTACATAATTTCATTTTTCCTTAGTATAGTTTTAAAACATCTGAGAAAAGGCATCCAATTAAACAGGTTCCAAATGCAATTGACCAATACCTGCAGTTTTATTTTCTAATCTCTTTTCTGATAATTTCCAGGACTAGATTTGCTTTTCCACTGTTGTAACATTATAAGTCAACATTTATCAATGACTTTTCTACTGTGTCTTCAAGTTCTCTTTCCATGAGTTAAACCCAATTCAGATTCCAGCTGTATTTGTTTATGACATGTTACAGTTCCTTGTTCTGTGCTTTTCATTTTGCAGTTATATTGAGTAACATCCATTTTCAGCATAGAATTCACTTCTGCAAGTTCTTCGCAATCTGCATAGAATTTCATTTGATTTTATTTATGAAACTATTTCTTATACATTATTGTTCTGAGCATCATTTAACAAGACTGAAGGGCTTTTGAAATAACCAAGTCTTGAAGTACCTTCTGAAACTCAAAGGAAAGGCATTCAATAAGTGGGAGCTTACCCAAAAGACATTTCCTTGCACCTGCACATGATGTACAACTTCTAAACGTGGAACACAGAGGAGAGCCTTTTCTGCAGACTCCAACACCCAGGCAGCTACAGACCAGGAAGATGTGGTACCAACATATTCCAATGCAACAGATTCTTTTTCCACCCAAATCTGCACAGCTAAACTCTTTAAGTGATCAGAAGTTTTTGGCCCTAACTTTACTGGAAAACCATATGCCCATCAACATGAAAGAATAGCAAAGCATTTGGATAGATTTGCAGAAATGAATTGGTAGAGAGATGCAAGCAATCAACAGGACAAAGAGAAATCCTCAGAATTAAAACGTTTAGGAACTACAATTCAGAAAAGCTATATATTATACCACATTTATTTTTTTTACTAAAAATAAAAAGGGAAGATCCACCTACTTCAACAAGTTGTGCTTTATTAAGTCCTGGTCTGGTCTGTAATTTGAAGTGCCTTTTGTATCTTCTTAGCGTGTTTACCTGCAGCTGAAAGAGATCAACCTAGAAAGGAAGTAACATGGTTCTTTAACTTGAGGCTAATCGTCAGCCTATTTTATCATGCAAATATTGTATGAAATTTTGAGTGATATGCTCTTCATTTTGTAACCTACAGCACATGACTGCTTTGCTTTGCATGGAGTGCTTTTAGCCCATCATCAGCTACTATCAGGATGGTGCCACTGGAACTCTTTGATTAAGGAAGGTACATATTTTACCAATGAAAGGTCCCCATTTCAGTCTCCAGAAAGTCTATTTTAAAATATCACAAGTTATAGGAACTGGGGGGTAGGGAAGTGCCACAAATCCAGAAAGCTGCTATTAGAATAGACTACTAAACAATGGGCTTCATGTGGTAAAGTTAACGTGTTGTCTCATTCTAGTAATGAGCTTACAGTACAGCAACACACACATGCTGGGGAAAACCTAAAATACAAAACTCTTCAACAACCATTTTTCATTCATCATATAAACCAAGATGGATAAAACCTATGATGCTCCAGATGTTGTTGAAATACAGGTCTGTATGTCTCAAAGTCATAATTCATATTTTATTGGCATTTATATTTTCTTACTCCAAAACTTCTTAGAAGTAAGCCCAAACATAAACACAATTATCTGAAGAACCTCACTCTCTGGAATCACAATTATGCAAATTGGGATGGCTATATATACTATATATTAGCACTAAATGAGATGCAATAAATATCTATGCCACCAAGTTTTTGAACAAAGCACTGTTTTCATATCATGTACAAGCATACTCATGCAGAGATTAATTCTGAGAAGAAATATTAATCTACCTCTGGCGTGTCGATGTCTTGTACTGGTGAATCACCATCATCATCACTGCCTTTTCTCTTTCTTCTGTTTCTGACACTCTGAATTAAGTTTTTGTGGAAATCACAAATATAAAGATGCCTTGCCTGAAAGTTTAAAGAGTTAGTTTAATATGCATCTCTGTAACATTTCCCAAAGTCATAATTCACATGCAATTTCAAAGAATTTTACTAATATAGTAAGCAAGGCAATGATATTAATCACAAACCCATCTCATTGCACTAGTTCATGTAAGAGGAAATTTGGCACCTTAGTTAGTTAGTGCAGTGCAACCAACATGGCTCAGCAAATGCTTTTTATCCCTATTCTGGCTAAGTAAACTACAAAGATAATCAAGTGATGCTGTGTTTACATATATACAGAATGTACAGACATGAAAATGACAACAATCGTTTATACAGAAAAGGAAGTTTTCAATTCCCTAACAGCTCAGCAATTTTACATTGCTTCTAGTATGTTTTAGAATATTAAACTGCAAAAGTCGAATTGACAGTATTCTATGCAAAATAGGTATTTTGCATTAAAAATCCAATAACAAAGAAGCTATAAAGTGACAATGGCCATTTTGTCAAGGAAAAAATAATATATGGATAATTTAATGAAGTATACACAATATTAAAATTGCTATTTTTACTCTAGAAACAAGTTGTTGCAGGAAAAAAATGCCCACTTTAGTAAAGAACTAAAGAGTTTGGTGATAGATGCAACAAAGTATATTTTATTGGCACGTACAACTACAGGGATCACTGGGCTGCTCACCAAAGGAATGCTGAAGACTCCCAAAGCCCACAAGGTTACAGGCTATATACTTTCTGTAATGATACACAGGACCTACCAAAGCTGTGTAAATTATAACATGACTTTTACAGCAGGAACACAGAATCTGATAACATGGGTTGACCTGACTATGGGCTGACCCACAGCCTCTATGTTCTGCTCTTCTAAGGAAGCTTCCTGCCCATTCTACTGATACTAGCACCTTATAACATAAACAATGCCCTTTATTGTACCCATATACTGTACAATATTGATTTCCTTCATGCCATGGAAAAGACAACCTGGTTTTTGTTTGTTATCTGTCTCCTTCCCCAGAGTCATCAGGCAGTTTCAGTTTGCCTCCTTTCTTATGCACTTACATATCCAATTTGTATGGATCATATGTAAGGATAGAATATTATTTGTCCCCAGATTCCCCAATTTCTTTTCTCCCTCTTTCAGTGGACAATATAGTGGAGGAAGATCAGTATGATAATAGGCAGACCACCCTGGGGTCTTACATGGTTGACAGCAGGAACTACAGCTGTACAACATGCACGATGGTCCACACATTATTCATACATATAGAACCGTTCCTATTAGAAGGAAGAGAAATCCAATGAACAAAATGTCCTTTATCCATATACACATGGAAGAAAAACTAGGTATATATGACATTAATTTATGTTCTAGGACCTGGCCTTTACCTATTTCTTCCAGACGGGTGCCTGCTTGCGGATCAATGCAATGTCAGTCTCCATGTGAATATGTTGATTAACCCAAAGCCACAGGAAGAATTCACTAATTTACATACCACCCTCCCAGGATATTTTCTTCTGCACAATGTGGGACAGATTAGCATTACATGTCTAACCATATTTACTTGTTTTTCAGTACCCAATAATGCTTATTGCCAAGAAAGTATTTAGCAGCACACAATAAGGTAACAATTCCAAATCAATCTGCTAAGGACAAAACATCTCATTGAATTCTAATTTTATAGTAAAAATAAATTCTCTAGTTGGGCTATTAATCTACCAAGGGTCACACCAGAAGAGTTTATTATTCCTAAACCAGAACAGAGATAGTAATAATAAGTAGCATGTTTGGCAAGCAATCAGATCATCCCCACTTTTTTTTTTAAACAAAATGTGAGCCTTCATATCATTCTCAAACCAACCGTTGCACACGCTGCCAACATTTAATAACACTCTTTAACTCCATCAGTACCAATAACGAGACATAGCCCAGACTTGTTCTTTCCGGTTAAAAATCACAAGTATCCGCTCTGCATTAGGGAACTATAAGCCGACAGACGTTTACTGTCTGGAATACGTGCTTTGACTTTACAAATGTCTCGCACTGAATGGATTTTTCTCCTTCTTTTGTTTAGTATGCAGAAGCGACGAATGTATCTTTGGGCATTTGATATTTAAAAAAGAAAGGTATTCTAAGAGCTTGATGGCTGCCAAGGGGAAGACGAGAGTGGAAAAATGGGACGTGCAACGCTGCAGCACGAGGCGGAGCAGTCAAGTACTGTCCTCTCCAGGGGGAAACAGAAACACTCCATGAAACACATATTCACACAAACAATCGGTCCTGATAAACAATACTTGCAAATTCTTGCCAGGAGCCGTTCACACGACTTTATGTTAAACTCCGCCATCACGTTCAAGGGGAAAAGAAAGAATGAGATGAAGAGAGACAATAGCATAAAAAAGCAACGAGAGAAGCTACTTCCAATCACACTCACAAAGACCAGTAGCTGAGGCTGCTCAGCTTTTGCAGCGTCAGCCCACAGCCAACTACACAGCAAGAGCAAACAAAAACAGAAACAAAAAGCTCTGGAACTGCTAACCCTTCAAAGAGCTGCAAGAAGGAAGGGGGAATCGAAGAAATCACTGTCTAAAGTATACATTTTCGAGGACTAAAGCCTTTTCCGCGCAAATAAATATTTAATACCTGCCCCTAATATGGACAAAACAAGTCGCCACAAAAAGCTGGAATGGGGTTTAAGGAAAGAGCAAATCAATTGGACTTCCACTCATTCAATAGAGATGTTTTTCCAGGGACTGAAAGCCAGCCAAACCGTCCTAAAACTAAGGGAACGAGACACGAACAAAATCAAACCGTGGAACGTTTGTCTTCTCGGGAAAAGCATCTTTCTCATTCGTTCCCTGTCCTCGGTTCGCTTTTGTCTTCTTCACCATAACCACCACTCCCCCAAGTAAATCTAAGGGTTATATGGGGCTGGCGATGGCGGCTTCTAAAGCGGCTGAGGGATAATCACAAATCAAGCTCAGCCAGGAGCTCCCCGCGGATTTAAGACACTTACACTCTTGTCCAGCTCGATCTTCACCTTCTTCTGCGAGATGCTCTTCTGGATCCGCTTGCTGAAGCTAGCGTTGCCCGCAGCTCGGCTACACCTTTCGCCTTCCTCCCGCAAGCAGCATAACTGCCCAGCGCCGGGTCCGGCAGACCCAAGGGGACCGGCCGAGCCCGCAGCTGTCGCGGCGGCAGCCGACGAAGTAGCTCCGAGCCCGGCCGTCGGCAGCGGAAGGGGCGGTGGGGGCGGCAGGACTTCCACCGCGGCGGTGGCGTTAGCTACAACGGCAGGGACGGCGGCGGCTTCTCCCCCGCCGCGGGTCACTTCCTCGGGGCCGAAGCCGTTCATTGCCCGCCTGCTTAAGCTGCGAGCTGTCTCCGATAATGCTGCCGCTAAAGTAAAGTAACTCAACTGGGCGGCGTTGCTGCTCTGCTGCGGCTGCTCCCCCCACACTCCCAGACACCGCCTCCGTCTCCTTTTGTCAGGAGGGACGCGGAGCGGAGGAAGGCCACTCGGCCTCTCGGAGTCCTTTGGGCCGCGTTCTCCTGGCGCGCGAGGAGCAAGAGCTGAAATGCAACGTGGGAAAGACGCCCCGAGTCCGACAACTCCCCGAGTCCTGCAGAAGAGAGTAGCAGAAAATGCCCGTTCCGTTCGCCCCCAAGACTGACACCGAAGGGAGAACGGGAAACGCCACCCTCCCACCTCCTTTCTCTCTGTAAAAAAGCGAAGCCGAGCCTTGCCCCTTGAGCAGCCGCGACTCCGGACTCTTCCCTCCCCGAAGTAATTAAAACTCCGTCTTCTTCCTCAGTAAAGCTACGGGCAGGTCAACTCCACTTCCTCCTTTCCACACTCTTTGCAACGTGTTGTAGACTTTTCGGCTGTTTCCAGATTGCAATAGCAACAACCTGCCCCAGTGTGCTGTTTTTCTCCTCCGCCTTCCCTTATCATCCCCGGGGGTTCACGGGAAGAGTAGTTTTCCCGTCCCGTCTTCCGTCAAAGAACCAAGAGTAAGGACTACAAGTCCCAAAATGCATCTCCGCGCAAAGCCCTAGTATTAAGCATATTTACAAAGCGAACGAACGCGGCGGCTCCGCACTCTTCGCTTGAGGGCGCGCGCGCAAACCATTTTACTGGCTGTGGTGAGAGCAGCCTTCGGAAAGGCGCTGAGAGAGGGGTGCCTCTTCGCTCCCCTCCTCTTACTAGGCGGATAAGACAAGAAAACAAGATCCCCTTCAACTTATTCTAGAAATGGATACAAGAAAGGTTTCACGCTACAGTATGCGCATTACCACATTCTTCCGTTGTCTGTCCAGCTGACGTGTGTGGAGGACACCTAGTTAGAAGAGGCGGCGCTTAGTGCAGCCGTTGATATTTGAAATCTACTGCCGGGCGGGGAGGGGGAAAACAGAGCAGCTGCCTCGTCTTTTGCTGCAGTCTGCGTCTTGGAAGCATAAAGCAGAGAGCTGGCAATGCCGCTCTCGATGACTGAGCAAACCTCCAACTTGCTGCATTTTCTAAAACCGTGGCTCTTCAAGCTTAGTGTAGCCAGCCTTGTGCAAGGCCTTTTCTCTTTCGGATCAAGGGGAGGTGGTCTTGTAGAAAATATTTTAACAGAAGTCGAATACAAAAAACGAGCAGAATATTTCCTCCTTATAAGCAAAATACTATCGTTTGAATAGGAAAATAAGGCCATTTGTCAACTAAGCAGTAATTTACAGGGTAGTTCATAAATTGTTGTAGTTTTAATATAGTACAGTACATGTTTAAAATGTATTTTCTAATAGCGTGACTGAAGAGATGTGAAATATGTTGCATATGTAGAATGAAAAAAGAAAAACAGAAAAAGTCCACTGCTGCCTAGCAGTGTTAATTTGAAATATCAACATCATGGTCAGGTAATGCCTTTGGAGAAAAGATAGTTTTGAAGTTCTAGAGAATTTGTATCTGGCAAGATACAATAGTTAAAATCCAAGAAAAATGGGGGAAGAGAAAAATACTTGCTAATGTTAGAATTATAGTTACACTGCAGGGTTACATAATTTTTTGCAGTTAATTGTAGTGAGCATATCTGAAATTGAAATCATGGCAGGAATTGTCTTTACCAAATGAGTATGTTGGCACATGCCTTGCCATATTTAGCAAGAATATCAGATAATCAAGTTAGTTATCAAGTGCTAGATGATAAAAATAGTTAAAACTAGAAGCAGCAATGTTGTCTTTACTACTGTTGTGATTGATGTTACCTTTTTTCCTGTTTAAAATTTAGAGGCTTTCAAATTCTAAAAATTATTTTTAGATTTACAGGACATAGGGATCTGAGCATAATGATCTTTAGACTACCCTTGTATTATTAGATGGATTCTCCAATCTTCCTATTTTTCTTTTGTACTGTAATGGAGCTGCATTTTTCCAGGGATTCTATAAAAATGTGTTGGGAAGAAACAAGGAAATAATTGTTGGTCTCCATTTTTGGAAATATACATCAGTTAAGTATTCTGTAAAAATTGAGAGTTGGAAGTGAAATAAGACTTTTCTGTGTGAATTACAATACCTTAATAGAAATAAGAACAAAGAAAATTATTGAAAGTTCCAAATTATATAAAAGGGCCTTCATAATCTTTTCAGCCTTACTACAGTTGCCGCTTTCTTTGCATTTTGGGTACTAAACTTGCACTTGTAAAGCAGTTTGCTATAGATGAACCTACTGTCCGACTTAACAGGCCTGAGTCTCCTGGAAAAAATAACTATACATTTAAGTATTGTAATGATGTTTAAATGTGTGTATTTTGACTATATAAATGTTTACTTAGTCCTTTTTCACTAAAACTTATTCATAGATATCTGCAAGACTGCACCCTATGAATACAAAACATTTTCATCAGAAAAACTGTTTCAAGAGTCAGTCCAAGGAGAAAAAAGTTAATCAAGTACAATTCCAGGAAATAGTTGTACACTAAAGTATAGAACTATTTCTTTTTTAAAAAATAGTTTTTATCTTTCTGCTTTTTAAAATTTAATAAAGCTAACACAAATTAATAAGAAAAAGAAAAAGCTAGAGGTAGAGAAAGAAAACAAAAGTGCTGAAAAACAAAGGGAAAAGATAAATACAAAAAGAATGACTTCCAACTTCTTATACATAATAAATGTATATAAATGAAACATAAAATAACCCCTTACTCTAAAATTACATCTTAATGTACATTTTTGCTTAGTCTATTAATTTTACTAATCATCAAATCCATATATTGTCTCCAGCAAAAAGTCCAAAAGGGGCTTCCAATTAGCATTAAAGTTAATGTTTTTTCTCTAAGCAAAGCTGTCAATTTTGCCATCTCAGCTAACTCCATCAACTTTACCATCCATTCTTCCATTGTAGGTAATGTCAATTCTTTAGAAGTATAGAACTATTTCCTAAACAATATTAGGAATGGTATTTATTCTCTCATTTTCCTCTAAGAGATTCCCTGACAATAAAAGGACTCCTGTTAACAATGAAGTGGAATAAAGAGGGAAAGAGAACCTGGCATGCTCTTTTCTTTCCTTGATTTGCCATCTCAATTTACAGTGTAAGAAGTAAAGTATAACAACTGCAACAAAATGAATGGAGCACAAGGAACACTTTCAATTTATTGCTGATTTTGAATTGATGAAACTTGCACTCTGGACCGTGTGCTTTCTCAAAATCCAAAGCAGCTGTCAAATGAAAGTGCATGTATTGGTGAGGAAAGAGAGAGAGAGAGAGAGTCCACTCCACTGCAGCACTTTTCCATGCAAAAGGATGACTGCATATGTAATTAGGAATGACTAGTAACTGGACTAAACTGAACTGTTGAAAACTGCTATTTATCAGCCACTTTCTATTTTACACTTAATTTATAATAACTAAGAATCGAATTTGCAGAATATTTTTTGCACAAAATAAGTTGGCAACAATAACCCTGCCCAATCACAACAGCATTAAAATCCAGAGTTTCTCTATTGTTTCATACTGATAAATTTAGTTCATCATGCTTGTCTAGGACTGGATGAGCACTTTCTTTGCTGCATTTTATATAAAAGATATTTTAAAGCAATAATTCAAAAGATGCAATTCCTGATAAAGTACTGTAATCTTTTTGATTGGAGTTTTCTCTCAACTGTTCAGTATATACATGGCATCATTCACAGAGACTGTTGCCTGGAAACACTCAAGAGAGCCCAGCAGAAATGACAGGCATGGAAGAAGAATAAAAGCAGGCAATACACTCTTAGTCACAGAAGTTCACCGGGTGACTTTGGGTCAGTTACTTTTAGCTCCAGGACTGCTGAAGGGAAAAGTATGAGCTCTTAAGACAGTATAACTCTAACAAATAAGTGGTAGAAAAATAAGATTAGAATAGCTTTGTGCTAGCATTTGCAACTATTATTACTGGAAGGACACTGTTTATCATCTAGTTTTTTATTGTTTTGCTGTTGCTAACTTGTTTAAAACAATCATTACACAATCCTTTACAATAACGTCCTTCTTTGCTCAACAGAACTTTCTCTAGAGTTGCAGCTGGATCTTTATGCAGCATAAAAACCATGAAAAAACCACCAGTTTACACCATTTTTCTTCTGTATATGCTCCGACAATTTAAAAGGTAACCATGGGATGCCCCTGAGCAGAGTAAGAGAAAATCCTGCTGGTACAAATTCTTGTGTGATGAGGAAAGAAACATGCTAACAGTGTCAGGCTACCTTTTCTTCAAGGTAACCAAGGTTATCAAGGTGAAGAAGGAAACATCCTCAATCCAACCTTTTCAAGTATTATTTGAACGGTATCATTCTTATAGATAGCAATGTCACTTAAGTAAGGGCATGCCAAGAATGGGTAGAGTCTCTTTCTCTGCTTTAGTCGCATTCATACTACAGCTATAAATAACATAGTCCAAGTTCAAGATACACATTAGTAGTGAGAGATTGCATTTAGAACCATCATAGATGTTACAAAAACTTTATGTCAACATCTGCAGTAGCTCTGAAAAGCTGAAAAGATGTTAGCATGGATCCTCAAATATATCTCCAAGTGTTTCCTAGTTGTCAACTGAATACATCTAGAACTAATTCAATTCCTAAACAGTTTTTGTTTTAAGGATCCATTGATAACATACCACACCAATAGAATAAACTGGTTGGATAGAAGTCAAATATTTTGATAAATGTTTATCAAAACGTTATATATATTTATATAACATAAATTTACTCAATTGAAGTGACCCATTTAAAAGCCATGATTTGAGTACTGTAATTTTGATAAACTATAAGTAAAATTCAGGCTTTCAGAATATCGGCCTATGTTCTCATTTCCTAGTGAAATTAATCATAAATCTGTGTAATTATATTTAACTAATGTTTTGTCAAGACTCTGCCTCAGGTCCACTTCTAGAGATGTGCAAATAAAATGAGTTATACACTGAATGACTCCAATTTCCTCTATTCAATACTTTTTGGACCATGAACACCACAGAGTTTCTGGCAATGAATAAAATCAGCCAATAAGGACATGCTTCAAATTTGAAGGTAAAAAGATGCTTCGAGCTTGCATGGGTGTGCATGTAATACCTGTCTGCAACTCCTTAAACATCTGTTCCTGGGATTGTGTGGCAAATACAGACAGTAGCTACACAATCTTGGGAAATGCATTTGCTTTAAGGAGTTACTGACATATGCTACATGAGCAATTACATTTTCTGAAGCAACTGTGCACAAGCCAAAAAAAATCTGCACTCATGAGTTCAGACTACAGTATTTGTGTGCTTTTGGAATTTATGCAGTTTTTACAACTTTAGAATGTTATCCCTATTCTGAAAGGAGGGGTGGAAGATCTAGCAAACTACAAGAATCAATCTACACTGATACATGGGAATTCCCTAGAACAAATCATAGAGATCAG